TGTCGTTGGACGTGGGTTCAATCTCACCGTATGCAGATAAAAACTTTTTTTTAAACATTTCATTTTCAAATACTTCATACGAGGCATTTCTTTATCATGGGTAATCTTTTTTTTTTTTTTTAAAAAAAGATAGTTTTAATTGTTTTTAAACAACTCAACATTCACGACTGAAGAGCTGTGTTTCATGGTTTGTAATAATCTTGATCATTTTTTATGAATATAAAAAAAGACAAAGAGGGATTTTTGTATTTGTTTTTAGATTTTCATATTTTTTTCAGACGTTTCTGTTTGTGGAAGCTTTGCACTTCAAAACTGATAATTTTTGCTTTTTTGCTTGAATAGAATAGTCGAAAAATAGAAATCGTTCAGCTCGGCGGTTTCAAATCCCACCGTATTCGGATAGAATTTTATTTTTTTAAAACTTYTTAAGTCCAAATTTATAATTCGATTCAAACCCTTTTCAGTTCTCATTCTACACTTCTACAAACAAATCAGACGTTTGCGATGTTTGTGGAAGTTTTTAAAATACACTTCAAAATGTTATTTTGCTTGATCAATAGAAKTGTCAAAAATAAACTTTGTCAAGTGTACAATAAATAAAACATCATAAAACAAAGAACATTAAGATAAGGTTGCTAAAATAATWAGAAACAAAACTAAAATACCTGGAAGAGTTCGAGTCGTTCACTGTGTGCAGAATGTTGACTTCACTGGCCTCAGCTCAATTATTAAGCTTCCTTTCCTTTAAATAAGCCTCATATTATCTCACACATTTAGAGAAGCCTTTTTTTGTTGTCAGTTTATATTGGAAAAGCTTGATCTAGCAAGTAAAAAACCATGGAGCAGATTGAAACTGGAGTCTTGTTTCAAGAAAGAACTGGGTGCGCAAAGCACAATCTCCTTCCCAGAGCCTGCGTTTCTTCTGGCCTTTTTGGCGCCATTTTTTGACGCATGCGCAATTTACCGGAAGTAAAATATGATCATGTTTTCAAACAGAGTTTTGAGTTTACTTCCGATCAAARTAAGAATTAGAATTCGGGAATTTTATATCTTTGAGCGCATGCGCTATTATACTGGTAGTCCAAGAAATTCTGGTCTCAAAGAATGAGTTATGCCAGAGCTCTCGTTCTTCGCCGCAGGCGGGAAAGGTGTCATTGGCTGTGTTGATCACGTGAGCCTTTCCCCCCCATAAAATTGCGTACTTTAGTTGTCGGTAGCTCTGGATTTAATCATCCAAACGACATATTTGTGAAATTCGAATTTTAATAAATACTTGTTCCAGTTTWATTAAACAAATTAATCAAGATCTTGTCTGAAACAATTGACCTTTTTTTGCTGATACGGCGGCCATCTTGAATTTTGGGACGCCAAGGGATAAATTTAAAAAGCATAGAGTGGCGRGGTTACGTTTTCGAATAATTTGGAGCGTTCCACATATTGTTCTAACTACAGTAACAGCAATTGATTTTTAGACGAGCTTCTCATTGAAAAGCGTAAAGTTATATACATATACTCTGACAGCTGATATAGATCATCCCATCATGTCTTACTAATAAAAACAATACAATTCAAGATGGCTGCCGTATCGGTAAAAAGGTCTGTTAACATTGATTCAAAGATTTATTTGAAAAGCAGTGTTAGCAGTGAAGGTTGTAGTAAAATARTGCAGTTTTCGTAWGACTGTGAAAAGTTCACGGCACGAACACGGTCGTGACACAGCAAGGGATACGCCAGACAAATCACATTGCACAAGAATTTACTCTCCATCCAATCAAATACCCGGAACACGGCATAAACACGGCGCGGACACGATCACGCCAAGATTACGGCACTTTTAGACCAATCATATTGCGCGTGAAAAAATCAGCCAATTAAAATTCTAGAAAGTATCACCGTCACGGCACCTCACGCTTACGGCACTGAGCTTTTCACAGTCATACGAAAACTGCACTAAGCATTTTGCGCGGTCAGCGTTCAGTGACCACGTGCTCAAACTATCCTGGTCATCGTGTGCGTAGCAAATCGCAAAGCAATCAGCCATGCAAAATCTCTTCAAATGTCCTCTATTTAGCCTCTATTCAGTTTATAGACATTTTAGTCTCTGCACATGGATGCGACATATGATGGGYTGTCGTAGCTTTAGAATCCAATACTTGATAATCCTATGCAAGAAAAGGAAAAGTTAAACCTAATCTCTTTCTTTGGGTAAAGCAGACATTGTAAAGACTGTGRAAAAACTTGGGTTGTGGGAAGCAGTGCAATGAAGATGATGACGTCATTCCTGTCTGATGATTCTGATTGGTTGAGTAGTTATTTGCCGCCCTGCGATTGGTTCAATAAGTTCGTCATGTGACCACCCCTAACTCCTTTTCGCACTTACACAGAATTTCGTAATACCTTTGTGAAACGGCAMGGCGCKGTAATGAAAGCACCCTTTAAACCAATCACATTATGCAAAATCAATGCTCAGCCAATCAAATGGTCGTACACGCCACCATTACGGTCGCTGCTTCTGCGCAGCTGCTGTGCTGCGCTTCCAGTTCCCATCAYTCYTCCAGCAGCTGYGCAAGAGGCTAGGTCACGRGACRGTACGCCAGGGCTTAATGCGAAATTTAACGACATTACTGGATTTGCTCTATGTTAATAGTGGGGCCAAAGRTAGCCCAAATATACAAGTTACCTATTTGTTTGTCATCATTGAAAGCCCAGCTGATGCAGTAGTGCGATAATAACTGGTCAAGAAGATCTACTTCATCTARGAACTCTAACTTTTCAATCCTACGAAGAATAACATGGTTCAACAGTGTCAAAGATTTGTTGGTGTTGGATGCAATATTCGTCTTTATCTTGGGCTAAATGTTTTCCTATTTCAGACCAAGAAGTCCATAGGGTATGGAGAAGGCAGCAATTGTAAGGTGAGGTGCTAGACATCCATATTTTCACCCCTGATGTGATGCACAATTATTACTGACCCCTCCCTGTGAGAGGTAGCCTAGTTTTATATTTTATACAGAGCAAGTTGACACAATAAGGAAAAAAACTCATKATAATGGCATTCCAAGGTATCATTACGCAGCCTGTGGTCATTAAATCTAACCTGGATAGTTCTTGGCTTGGTAGATATCTGTACACTTCATCCATACTGTACGCCTGTGATGACTGCCAATGATTGGACAGAAATCTCTGCTTCTGAAATGAGTGAAATA